GCAATCGGAGCTCCAGTAGCTCTTCTATTGGAGTGGACAATACGGACCAAACTTTGCTCCCCATCATCCATCATTAAACTATAACTTGGTCGTCCGTGACCCTGTCACCAGTTTTCCTTCCTTGGAACCGCTTTCGGTCGATCCTGACCACTGCAGCCCAGGAACATCCCACAAATGCTGCCGTTTTGGAGTCGCTCTGACTCACTTGTCTACCCATTACAATTTGGCCCTTCTCAAAGTTCCTCAAATCTTTATGCCTGGTACACACACCTAGTTTTTGTCACCATTCAACGCAGCTCATCAGGAGGTTGCTGTATAAACTACAAGATGTTAGTACAGCGATCTTCGTGCTGAGCTAATGTGTTCCGACAGAGGAACCACTGTCCAGCCCACAGCACAACAGTCAGCGCTAGCAGCTATTGGCAAACAGCATTGATCGGCTGCCAATCAGCTGCAGGTTTTCCGGCATGCTCATTCAACAGAAGCCAGCCATGAGATCAGCTTCTGTCGGACAAGGACTTGTACACACGGGCCGAATGTCGGCCGGTATCTACTGTACTGCCTGATTTCGGCCTGTGTGTACAGGGCTGAACACTTGTCCCTGAAGTTGATGTGTAAAGTAGAAAAAAAAAAAATATCAACATGTTCCCTAGCTGCCTAATAAATCCGAGCTGCTTTCAGTTACCACAACACAAAAAAAACAACAACACACAACTTAGACTAGGCGGCGTCATCCTCCTTTCGGCCAGATCTCAGAGAATGCCAAGTAGTCCAAATCTCATGAGATGATCTTGCGCAGCATCTTACCGTGAGATATGGGCTACTCAGCGTACCGAGGGATCTTGTTGAAAGGATATTATCTAACTATTTATCCCGCCCCACAGGTTTGTTTAACCGGTTCCAGACCGCCTACCGCAGAGTGGCCCCGCTGCACAAAATCATGTACATGTACGGTATCCTGTTCTTCTGGGTAGGGGGCACACGCCACTGCCCTGGGTGTGCTGTCATTTACTACAGCACGTGCCAATCAGCAGGTCCCAGCCAATGATTTATGGCTGGAACCCCCTGATCGGCTTAGCAAATGACAGAAGGAGAGTCTTGCGTTGGTAAACAACAAAGGACTCTCTACAGACAGCGACATGCTGTTTTGTTTTTTCTACCTGCAAAACAGGGAGTAAAAACTGACACCCCTGATCTATGTGTGATGGTTTTTCTAAGCAACGTACCAAACTGTGGCCCTCCAGCTGCTGCGGAACTACTAATCTCATGAGGCATTGCAAGGCTGCCTTTGGGAGTCATGCTTGTAACTTTCAGAGGCGTGATTGGACTTGTAGTTCCTCAACAGCTGAAGAGCTACAGTTTGACATCTGTGCACTAAACAATGTTAGGCACAAATTTAACCCTTTGATTGCCCCTCAATGTTAACCCCTTCCCAGCCAGTATCAGTAAAAACCCAGTGGATAAGATTAGCATTGATCACTGTAGTAGTGTTACTGGTGAAGCCAGTGTCAGATTGCTCATTACACTATAACAGTCCCACTATAAGTGGCTGATCACCGCCATTACTAGTATAAAAAAAAAAAAAAAAAAAAAACGGAGACTGGCATCGTAGTGAGCGGTGTGGAAGCAATTAGGCGGCAGATGAGCCCTGCTGCTTGCCCGCAGCAGGTCTAAAGGTTAAAAAAAACTACCTGCCCGCCACCTGGAACTGCATGTCCTGGGAGTCGGGTGATATAAATTGAACATCCCTGCTATAACTCGCACAAACCAATCTATATATACTTATTGGGATTTTTTTTCAACAAAAAATGTAGCAGAATACATTTTGGCCTAAAATGTAATAAGAAATGTTTAAATTTTTTTTTTTATTATTATTGGATGTGTTTTAGAGGAGAAGGTAAAATTGTTGTTTTTTTTTTTTACTTTCAATCTTTTTTCATATATATATATATATATATATATATATATATATATATATATATATATATATATATATATATATATATATACACACACACACACACACACACACACACACACACACAAAACATATGTTTTTGTTTTGCTACAGCATTGCATGAGCAAGCAATTACCAGGTAAAACAGCGCAGTGCTGAATAGCAAAAAATGGCCTGGTCGTGAAGGGGGTACAACCTACCAACGCTCAAGTGATTAAAGAAAGAGGCTACAAACAATAAGCAGACCTTTACTGAGGTGAAAGGACCAATTTAAGGTGATCTTGTGTTCAGACATAATAAGCAATTGTCTAAAAGACATTACATCTGTTTCAGAACAAGCAGCCCTCTGGGTAGTATTTTTAAGGGGTTGTAAAGGGTGAAGGTTTTTTACCTTTATGCATTCTATGCATGAAGGTAAAAAAATCTTCTGTGTGCAGCAGTGCCCCCCAGCCCCCTCAATACTTACCTGAGCCCCATCGCGATCCAGCGATATGAACGACAGCCAATGAGGAGGCAGAGACCCTTGACAGCCGAGCCCAAGACAGCAAGCAGGAGCCACTGGCTCCGGATGCTGTCAATCACAGCTAGTCAGCCAATGAGGAGGCAGAAGGGGTAGGGCCAAGCCGTGGCTCCGTGTGTGAATGGACACACGGAGCAGCAGGTGCCCCCATAGCAAGCTCCTTGATGCGGAGGCACCCGACAGGAGGGAGGGGCCAGGAGAGCCTGCAGGGTCCTGAGAAGTGGAGGATGCAGGCTGCTCTGTACAAAACCACTGCACACCAGTAGGTAAGTAGAACATGTTTGTTACTTAAAAAAAAAAAAAAAAATCTTTAGAATTGCTTTAAGTCTTACTGTAAAGCCCTTCTCACACTAAAGCTGGCCATACATTGATCAGTTTATTCCTTCAGCCAATAGGCTGACCAAAAAAAAAAAAAACTGAACAGATTCCCACATCCACACATACAGTTGTGTCCAAAATTATTCAACCCCCACTGAAATTGAGTGTTTTGGCCAGTTTGACATTGCTTTTGATCATTCAGTCATCTTGCTTACATTTACATTAAAGAGGCACTTGTAGGTCAGACAAATATAACATAACAGTTATAATGAAATAACCACAAATGTCTTTTCTGTGCTCACAGCATTATCAGTTTTATTCAACCCCCAAGTGACATTCAATCTTAGTACTTAGTACAGCATCCTTTTACAGTTTAACAGCTTTTAAACGTGAAGCATAGCTTGACACAAGTGTCTTGCAGCGATCTACGGGTATCTTCGCCCATTCTTCATGGGCAAAGGCCTCCAGTTCAGTCACATTCTTAGGCTTGCGCACTGCAACTGCTTTCTTTAAGTCCCACCAGAGGTTCTCAATCGGATTTAAGTCTGGTGACTGCGATGGCCACTCCAAAATGTTCCAGCCTTTCCTCTGCAACCATGCTCTAGTGGACTTGGAGGTATGCTTGGGATCATTGTCCTGTTGAAAGGTCCAACGTCTCCCAAGCCTCAGGTGTGTGACGGACTGCATCACGTTTCCATCCAATATCTCCTGGTACTGAAGAGAATTCATGGTACCTTGCACACGCTGAAGCTTCCCTGTACCTGCAGAAGCAAAACAGCCCCAAAGCATGATTGACCCTCCACCATGCTTCACAGTAGGCAAGGTGTTCTTTTCATCATAGGCCTTGTTCTTCCTCCTCCAAACATAGCGTTGATCCATGGGCCCAAACAGTTCTAATTTTGTTTCATCAGTCCACAGAACACTATCCCACAACTTTTGTGGTTTGTCCACATGGCTTTTGGCATACTGCAGTCGACTCTTCTTATTCTTTGGAGACAGCAAGGGGGTACGCCTGGGAGTTCTGGCACGGAGGCCTTCATTACGCAGTGTGCGTCTTATTGTCTGGGCTGAAACTTCTGTACCCACATCTGACAAATCTTTTCTCAGTTCCTCAGCAGTCACACGGGGACTTCTCTCCACTCTACGCTTCAGGTAGCGCACAGCAGTCGAAGTCAGCATCTTCTTTCTGCCACGACCAGGTAGCGTTTCAACAGTGCCCTTTGCCTTGAATTTGCGAATGATGCTTCCTAAGGTGTCTCTTGGTATGTTTAACATCTTTGCAATCTTCTTATAGCCATTGCCCTTCCTGTGAAGAGAAATCACCTCTTCTCTTGTCTTCCTGGACCATTCTCTTGCCTTCACCATGTTTGTAACCACACCAGTAAATGTCTAGAAGGAGCTGAGTATCACAGTCATTTTTAAAGCTGCCTAATTGGTGCTTATTATGCTTGATTGCTGCTCGGTGACATCCACAGGTGTTTTCAATACCTGATGGAAAGCACCTGTAGAACCTCTGTTCTTCAGAGTGGTAGTCTTTAAGGGGTTGAATAATTGTGGCAATGAAGAAAAACCACATAAGAACCATTTACTACTGTATTACATAAACAATTGATGTCATTTTAGTTGCATTTGGGTAGTTACAACGTCCTTGTAGGATTTGATTCTGAATACAATTCCAAATGTACACTATAGTCCCTAAACCCCTTTACAGCATTGGGGGTTGAATAATTTTGGACACAACTGTACAAGGTAGATGGGGGAATTCTCCTTTTTTTCACTATTGTATTCTGAAAGCAGAGAGATTCCTCCACTGCCAGAATACGCAAAAAAGCACTGCAGACATTGATTGAGCGGCTTTTATCCAACAGGGTGGCTGAGCAGAAATCAATTGATAGATCAACTTCTATTCAACTGCAGAAGCCACACAGATTGAAATTCGGCAGGTCCCTACTGAACCAGCCAAATGTTGATCCGTCTATGGCCACCTTTGCATTCTCTGTAACCCTAAGGGTATGGTCCTGTGTGCGATCTTGTCGCTGCCATCAACTCACTAGAGTAAGGACTGTGCAGAGACCGATTTCTATTCCCTATGCAATGGCTTCCTCAATAGTGAGATGTCAGTCCCTTGCTGCCTCCTCACCACCAAGCATGCAACCATACTTGCAGGCAGTAATAGAAAATACACTTCACCAGTAGAACACATACCTTTTATTTTAATTTCTCCTTCAAATTCTTTTAAAGTGGAGAACTGCTCTTGAAGTGGAGGGTAAACCCTTATAAAGAGAAAAAAAAAAACAACAAAAGAAAATATTCCAATTTTGATTGGGACATAAACAGTCTGAAATATTTCATGACAACCATACAAGTGAATATATATCATAGTAATCCTGTCTGTAAACTAAAAAAAAAAAAATGTAGTTTATTGCAAGTTACTTAGGTGTGGAGGCTGCATTCGTTTTCTGCTTTTTTTTAAAACATTTTTTTCAATCTGGTATTCCTGTATATAAACACTTCCTGTCCCTGGGTGGCTACACTGTACACTGTGTCTATTGGGGCAGCCATAGTGGTCACACAGGCTGAACTTCAGATGTGTCTTTCTTTTTTCATTTCTATATGGGGAGAGATGGGATTAATAGTGTACAGAAGAAAGATGACACTTTGGGGTTTATTTACTGAAGCTTGAGTGTGCAAAATCAGGCTCACTTCTGCATAGAAACCAATCAGCTTCCAGATTTTATTGCCAAAGCTTAATTGAACAAGCTGAAGTTAGAAGCGGATTCTCTCTGGTGTTGATGCAGAAGAGAGCCTGATTCTGTACTCTCCGACTTTAGTAAATAAACCCCTTTTTGTCTTCTGGCCAGGCCATGATACAACATTTCTGGCAGGATCAACAGGTGTTTTTTTTTCTTGCTGAAAATGTTTTGCCTAAAAAAAAAATTTAAAATAAAAGGAAAACTAATGCAGGCACCAAATCTAAAGACTGGTAATCTGCAATATATTATGTTTTTAGACAGAACTAGCAGGCTCCATGCAGGCACCACATGATCTGTCTGGACCAGTAGAATCATTATTCTGCAGCCTGACCCTTCCTGATAGCGCTGCTCCTCCAACTGCAAGTCCCCGCTGACCTATCATTTTGATGGGAGACTTAATTGCATTACATTTTTAAACACCCAAATATCATCTACTGTACAGCCTGTCCATGCCATTTGGGTGTCTTCATTTCACCTGACATGATACAAAAACGGGAGCTTCAATTCAGTTGAGCTGGATTCATTCCTCCCTTCACTTGGCATTGCTCTGTGCGAGCAGCTATTACAGTGATGTACAAACAGTGAAGCAAAGCAGGAGCTGGATCAGACCTTCACTTCAGGAACTGTATTCAGTATTTGCATAACTGGGTGAACCGGGTTCCAGGATTTCAGAAGACGTTGACGATGTAAAGGTGTCTGCTTTACTATGCTAATGACAGTTTGACAAGTATACCTTGGTCTGCTTTTATAAACATGTGAGCAATGACAGCTCTTCTATCATCAATCCTGATGGCCTCCCTTTAAAGTGACCCTGTCACAAGTCTATTCATTTCAACAACAATCTTCCCTTAATATCTTACGTGCATTTACATGTACCCATTTATAGTACCGTGAAAAAGTATATTTGTCACACCTAAATGATTCAGATCTTCAAACAAATTTAAAATATTACACAAAGATAACCCGAGTAAATACAAAGTGCAGTTTTCAAACGCCGATTTCCTTTATGAAGGGTAAAAAGATGTCCAAAACCACCATGCCCTATGTGAAAAAGTAACTGCCCCCTAAACCTAATAACTGGTTGTGCCCACCCCACTTGGCAGCAACAACAACTGAAACCAAGCGTTTGCGATAACTGGCAATGAGTCTTTCACAACGCTGTAGAGGCCCACTCTTCTTTGTAGAATTGGAGGGTTTTCCAGGACAAATGGCCTTGTTTAACCAGTTGCAGCCCGGCCTATAGCCAGATGGCGACGGGTAAACAGTTCGTCCCGCCAGGTGGATGCCATATGGCGTCCATTCAGGAACGCGCATTGCGCATGCCCGCAGGGCCGTGATGCGGCGCGATCTGTCACTGGCCGTGTACCTCGGACACGGACTATGACAGATCAGTGTACCGGCCCCATTGCCAGTAACATGTGACCTGCTTTGACCAATCAAAGCAGGTCACATGACAGTTCTATACAATGGATAGCTTCCTTTCATGCCATCCATTGTATACAAGTGTGTCTAGCTGTGAATGGTCACAGCAGTCACATGCACAAGCTGGGCCAATCACAGCCCAGCTGTGAGATGCCATTAGACACGGCCAAATCACAGAGAAGCACAAAAAAAAACAAAAAACAAAAAAAAAAAAAACAAAACAAAAAAAAATACTGAATGAATCAATTTCATTCAGGTAAATGCTTGCTTTATAGCAAAGTCATTCTTTATCTTGCTTTTAGCTTGCTATGTGGGCACCCGAGCATGCGCACTCCCCAGCTACTGCTTTGTGTGTCCATTCACACATGGAGCCGCAACTCTGCACCGCCCCCTCTCGCTTTTCATTGGCTCACTGGCTGTGTTTGACAGCAGCAGGAGCCAATAGCTCCAGCTGCTGTCTCAGACGATGAGGAGGGGGAGTCCCAGGATAGCTGAGACTCCAGTGCACATTGCTGAATCGAGAAGGGGCTTAGGTGAGTATTAGGGGGGTTGGGGGTGATGCTGCACAGATGTGGGTTTTTTTTTTTACTTTCACGAACAGAATGCATGTATGTGGTTAATCACAGTGAACTGTGAGGAACAATGGTTTAACAATTGGGGGGTAATTCCTTTATCACATAGGGTCAGGAACGTTTGGATGGCTTTTTTCCCTTAATAAATGAAATCGTCATTTAAAAACTGCATTTTGTGTTTACTAGGGGTATCTTTGCATACCATTAAAATTTGTTTTGATAATCTAAATCATTTAAAGTAAGTGTGACAAACATGAAAGAAAAAAAAAAAAAAGTCAGGAAGGGGGCAAATACATTTTCACAGCACTGTAAATTGAAAGAATTTTAATGAAACTCACCTTGTGCAGAGCCATTCCAAGACGCCAAGGCGAATGACAGAGGGGGTACATAATAGTTCGTGTATATTCTGTGAGCCGGATACATACATGCCCTTCAAAGGCAGGCAGGACAGCTTCTAGAAGAAAGAATAAATAGTTTAGTGCTCGGCGGTTTGGTCATCACTTAGGCTTTGTTCACGCCGGCGGCGGAGGAGGAGCAGTAAAAACAAGCAGTTGATCACCCCGACTACCCACCTTTAAATATATATGGTGGCCAGAGGGGCGAGTTCACACTGCAGCACTGCATAGTGGACTATGTCACAGCTGTGTGCGGCCGTGGCGGTTTTTGCATAGTTGTTCAAGCTAAAGTAGAAGGGCTATTTTTTTTCCCCATTTTGGATAGCGTAAGGGAGGGTTATAGCTCCTATCAGGCTGTTTTCTTTCATCTGTGTCCTCATTGGGGAAATTTCCTGTCCCATAGCTAAAACAGGAAGTGAGAGGAAATCCCTCCAAAGTGAGGGAATCCCAGGGTGTCACCAGAACTAGTGTCCCCAGTGGAAGATTTCCCCTCTAATCTTGTTCTGGTGACAACCCAAAATGTGGGATTTTCGTGCACAATCACTTAGTGATAACATTAAACTATGATAGATAGGGTGAATCTCCTTAACAGGCGCAGACAGCAAAAAGAATCTGTCAGGGGTTTAATCCCTCTCCATCTATCCAGATTGCCTTCTATCAGAGGGTGGTCAAGTCTGCCATTCATGTGAAAAAGGCCTTACAGCAATTGAAAGGGAAGTCATCTGTAATGAAACCTTCCTCTGATCTGTGATTTGCATTCCTTTCTCTCATTTAAAAAAAAAAGCAGTGGCTGTATTCTGAGATGCATCTCAAGGAAGATGGAAGACACCTACTTCGCACACAGTGCCAGGAGATCAAAATGACAATTTCAATGCTGCTGCCCTGCACTTGTGTAGTCATTGGATATCAAACTGGAATGAATTCAACCACATCCTGCCCACTGGTCCATCCCATTAGATTGCAGCCAATTGTGAGTAGCAGAATAAAGATCTAGAGGGATACTGGATATCATCCTTCTCAGTCTAGAGCACTGTAGCCGATTTACACAGACGATATCAGATTCTAGCAGTTTGTAATCTCTACTGATGACATAAATACAGAGCAGCAGTTATTTATCTCCTGGCACTGAAGGAACTAAACTCAATCCTCTTCCCAGCATAAGTTCCAAGTTTCTCCTATTTAGGAGGACAGTCCTGATGGTCCATATGAGGAACACACAGGAAATGTACATTTTATCTTTTTACTAACTTTCTAAAAGGTTTTACAGCATTTACATATTACTTTTTAGATCCACTGTATATAGCAAAAGATGTATTATATAAAGTCTACACTTCCCTGTTAAAATGTCAGGTTTCTGTGATGTAAAAACATGAGACAAAGATAAATCATTTCAGAACTTTTTCCACCTTTAATGTGACCTATAAACTGTACAACTCAATTGAAAAACAAACTGAAATCTTTTGGGGGGGAGTAAACATACAAAACTAAAAGAAGCGGTTGCATAAGTGTGCACACCCTCTTAAAACTGGGGATGTAGCTGTGTTCAGAATTAAGCAATCACATTCAGAATCTTGTTAAATAGGAGTCAGTACACACCTGTCATCATTTAAAGTGCCTCTGATTAACCCCAAATAAAGTTCAGCTGTTCTAGTAGGTATTTTCTTAGTCGTATCTTACAGCAAAAGCAATGGTCCACAGAGAGTTTCTAAAGCATCAGAGGGATCTCACTGTTAAAAGGTATCAGCCAGGAGAAGGGTACAAAAGAATTTCCAAGGCATTAGATATACCATGGAACATGGTGAAGACAGTCATCAAGTAGAGGAAATATGGCCCAACAGTGACATTACCAAGAACTAGACGTCCCTCCAAAATTGATGAAAAGATGAGAACAAAACTGGTCTGGGAGGCTGCCAAGAGGCCTACAGCAACATTAAAAGGAGCTGCAGGAATATCTGGCAAGCACTGGCTGTGTGGTACATGTGACAACAATCTCCCGTATTCTTCATATGTCTGGACTATGGAGTAGAGTGGCAACACGGAAGCCTTTTCTTATGAAGAAAAACGTCCAAGCCTGGCTAAACTTTGCAAAAATACATCTGAATTCTCCCAAAAGCATGTGGGAGAATGTATTCTGGTCTGATGAAACCAAAGTTGAAATTTTTGGCTAGAATTCCAAAAGATATGTTTGGCGCAAAAACAACACTGCCCATCACCAAAAGAACACCATACCCACAGTGAAGCATGGTGGTGGCAGCATCATGTGTTGGGGCTGTTTTTTTTCAGCTGGAACTAAGGCCTGTTCAACTGAGTCGTTACAGTTAATAGGTCCCGTTAAAAAGGTGGAAAAAGCTGTGAAATGATTGATCTTTGTCTCGCTTTTAGATTGTTTAGCAAAAAATAAAAATCCCCAGTAGTGATTAAATACCACCAAAAGAAAGCTCTCTCTCAAAAAAAGTATAAGAATTTAGTTTGAGTACAGTGTTGCATGACCGCGCACTTGCCATTCAAAGAGCGACAGCGCTGAAAGCTGAAAATTGTCCTGGGCAGAAAGGGGGTAAAAGTGCCCAGTAGGCAAGGGGTCAATAATTTAACCGCTTGCCCGCTGCCCTATAGTAGAAGTACTGCTACAGGGTGGCAAATCACAGAGATATATACACCTATCTATATCTATCATGGATATTGAATTCCTATCGCTTGACGCCTGGCCTGACATGTAGTTCTGGGCGCCAGGCAGGTAGTCTTTTTCTACCTTTAGCCCTGCTGCAGGCAAGCAGCAGGGATCATCTGTCAGGTGGTAGCAGTGCTGCCGCCGATTGCGTCCACACAGTGCCAGCCTCTCCGCCACCTTGTGTGAATCTCCCGGGCTACGCTTGCCCATCTGCGGGCCTGGCTCACCACTGTCAGAGAGAGTGGAGGGAGGAGAGCGGATACGTCCACTCCCCTTCCCTTCTTGTCCTGACCCAGAAGCGACATTATGATGTCATTTCCAGGTCCCTGTTGAGAGATTCACTAAATGTAATGCGGTGCGATGTGCACTGCTTTACATTCAGTGTAGTACAGGGGAGACAAGCAAGGTCTGTTAGACCTTGAATGCCTCAATAAAGAGAACTTATCACCTAATGTCATCACATAATGGACTTTGTCCCTTGTGATATAAACAAAACAAAAAAAATGTATATATATAATAATAATAATACACACACAGTATATATATATATATATATTTCTTTCTTTTTTACATTGTAAAAAATGAAAGTTACACCTAAGCACATAACATCCCCCCATCCAAAAAAAAGAGCCCCCCCATATACGTTACATACAAACATAGAAGTACACGCTGTGGTGCCTACGCATATAAACGTAGACTGCGATACACGTTACATATCACCACACACGCCAAAATGAAAGCATTAATTCTAACACCAGACCGCCACAACACTAAACTAATGACCTATGAGGGGCTTTAAATGCGTCACCTACAGAAAATTTAAGGTACTGAAATTCATCGACATTCCACAAGCGCACGCAAATTTAAGGTTTGGCATGTTGGATAACTATTCACTGGATGCAACCTCATTTTTTATATTTTACAAAAAAATAGGGTAATTTATTGCTTTTTTGTACCCTAAAATGAACTTGTATTTTTACAGAAATTTTGCGGTAATATCATGTGACATAAAAAATGTAAACTACCACTTTTATTCTCTAGGGCCTCTGATTTCAGAAAATATATCATATTTAGGGGGTTTATGTAATCTTCAGGCCTACAATGATTTTTTGAATCTTGGACAAAAGAAATGCAAAAATGGCTCTAGCAGCAAAAGGAATAAAGGATAAGCCGGACACTCCCCTTTGCTGAGGAGAAGCCAATCGGTGCTCATTACACTGCAAGGTATCTCCCCTCTCTCCGCACCGATTTAGCCCCTGGACTAGTTTTTTTCAAAAATTTCCACACCCCTGTGTATGTGTATGTGTGTGTGTGTGTGTGTATGTATATATATATATATATATATATATATATATATATATATATATATATATATATATATATATATATATACACACATACATACATACATACATACACACACATACACACACAAATATATATACAAGTGTGAAACTCGAAAATTTAGAATATCGTGCAAAAGATCATTTATTTCAGTAATGCAACTTAAAAGGTGAAACTGATATATGAGATAGACTCATTACATGCAAAGCAAGATAGTTCAAGCTGTGATTTGTCATAATTGTGATGATTATGGCTTACAGCTCATGAAAACCCCAAATCCACAATCTCAGAAAATTAGAATATTACATGCAATCAATAAAACAAGGATTGTACATAGAACAATATTGGACCTCTGAAAAGTATAAGCATGCATATGTACTCAGTACTTGGTTTGGGCCCCTTTTGCAGCAATTACTGCCTCAATGCGGCGTGGCATGGAAGCTATCAGCCTGTGGCACTGCTGAGGTGTTATGGAAGACCAGGATGCTTCAATAGCGGCCTTCAGCTCTTCTGCATTGTTCGGTCTCATGTCTCTCATCTTTCTCTTGGCAATGCCCCATAGATTCTCTATGGGGTTCAGGTCAGGCGAGTTTGCTGGCCAATCAAGCACAGAAATCCCACGGTCATTGAACCAGGTTTTGGTGCTTTTGGCAGTGTGGGGAGGTGCCAAGTCCTGCTGGAAAATGAAGTCAGCATCCCCATAAAGCTCATCTGCGGAAGGAAGCATGAAGTGCTCCAAAATCTCCTGGTAGACGGCTGCGTTGACCCTGGACTTAATGAAGCACAGTGGACCAACACCAGCAGATGACATGGCTCCCCAAATCAACACACTGTGGAAACTTCACACTGGACTTCAAGCATCTTGCAGTGTGTGCCTCTCCATTCTTCCTCCATACTCTGGGTCCTTGGTTTCCAAATGAGATGCAAAAGTTGCTCTCATCAGAAAAGAGGACTTTGGACCACTGAGCAACAGACCAGGTCTGTTTTTCTTTAGCCCAGGTAAGACGCTTCTGATGTTGTTTGTTGTTCAGGAGCGGCTTGACAAGAGGAATACGACATTTGAAGCCCATGTCCAGGATCCGTCTGTGTGTGGTGGCTCTTGATGCACTGACTCCAGCCTCAGTCCACTCCTTGTGAAAGTCCCCAACACTTTTAAATGGCCTTTTCCTGACAATCCTCTCCAGGCTGCGGTCATCCCTGCTGCTTGTGCACCTTTTTCTTCCACACTTTTCCCTTCCACATAACTTTCTATTAATGTGCTTTGATACAGCACTTTGGGAACATCCAACTTCTTTGAGGCTTTCCCTCCTTATGGAGGGTGTCAATGATGGTTTTCTGCACAACTGTCAGGTCAGCAGTCTTTCCCATGATTGTGATTCCTACTGAACCAGACTGAGAGACCATTTAAAGGCTCAGGAACCCTTTGCATGTGTTATGGGTTAATTAGCTGATTAGAGTGGGACACTTTGAGCCGAGAATATTGCACCTTTTCACAATATTCTCATTTTCTGAGATTATGGATTTGGGGTTTTCATGAGCTGTAAGCCATAATCATCACAATTATGACAAATCACGGCTTGAACTATCTTGCTTTGCATGTAATGAGTCTATCTCATATATTAGTTTCACCTTTTAAGTTGCATTACTGAAATAAATGAACTTTTGCACGATATTCTAATTTTTTGAGTTTCACCTGTATGTCTGTGTGTATATATATATACATATAAATGTATACATAAACATACATATACATGTATTCATAAACACACATATATATGTGTGTGTATTTATGTACGTGTGTGTATGTATATATATATATATATATATATATATATATATATATATATATATATATATATATATATATATATATATATATATACACACACACACACACACATATATATATACATACACACACGTATATATGTGGGTGAGTATATAAATATATATATATATATATATATATATACACATACATATATATACATACACACACAAACACACACGTGTGTGTGTGTATGTATATATACAGTTAGGTCCATAAATATTTGGACATCGACACAATTCTAACATTTTTGTCTGTCTCTCTCTCTATATATATATACACACACATAAATACACACACACACATATATACACATACATAAATACACACACACACACACATATATATATATATACACACACACATACATAAATACACACATATATATATACATATACATACATACATAAATACACACATATATATACATATACATACATACATAAATACACACACACACATATATATATATATATATATATATACATATATACATACATACATACATAAATACACACATTCAGTGTGCTGACCGCCATAGTTACAGTGCACGACTGAAATCAATAGTTATTGTGCATGTTGGCATGGTTGCTGCACATCGCTATAGTAAGAATTCAATGTTCTCGTTGCCATGGTAATAGTACGTCATTATTCACTGGTTGCCATAGTTACCATACATCACTTAGCGCACTGGTTGCTATATTTCCTGTGCGTCACTATAGTAACTGGCTGCCATGGGTCACTACAGTCACAAGGCTATGTTTTCAGTGTATCTCTGTATTTGTTCCCTCCTGTATACACTCAGACCACCATGCCGCCTCCCGAGCCCTACATTGCACTGTCCGCCCCTCACCTGTAACCGTTCATACACTTCCTCAGCCTGCCGCAGCTCCGTACGTCCCGCCATCTTCAGGCGAGACTGACCAGCCCTGTGATTGGCCTAACGTTCGCCTTTCTACACATCCATTGGTCGCAAAGCGTGTGACGTATTGGCTGTCTGCAAGCTCCCGCCCCAAAGCAAGAGACGATTGGTGGCTATCATGTAGACTGCCAGGCTATTGGTCGTTGGCTGTTCGCGGTGAGATCCGAACTTCCGGAAGTGTGGACCCTGTCCCGGTCTCTGCGCACATTTTGTGTCCTGGGGGTCACACCTTTGCGGTCTCCATTTTGCAGAAACACACAGCAGTCCTTTACCATGATTTCCTATGGGACAGGTTCACAGCTCTGCCTTTTCACCCAGAGCGTTTTTTTTTTTTTTTTTTTTGAAAGGATGTTTTTACCCTAGTTTATTTTTTTCAGGTACTTATATAACGCCGTCAATTTACGCAGCGCTTATGTGTGTTCATTCACATCAGTCCCTAACCCTTAAGGGGCGTACAATCTAAAGTCCTTAATTCATATGCATATACTAGGGCCAATTTAGACAGGATCCAATTAACCTACCAGCATGTCTTTGGAGTGTGGGCGGAAACTGGAGTATCCGGAGGAAACCGGCACAGGGAGAACATGCAAACTCCAGGCAGGTGGTGCCATGGCTGGGATTTGAACCAACGACCATAGTACTGCCAGGCGGAAGTGCTAACCATTTAGCCACTGTGCTGCCCGAGGTTCACATCTGTTCGGGTGATGCCGCTGCAGATACGCACGAAAATCCATGCAGCCGCACAGAGAAATGCGGACCTGCAGGCGGGTGTCATTAGTTCTAATGGCACGCCGCCTAGAGTGGAAACCGCAACCGAACTGGAAACTGAGGTTCCCGTGCGGGCAGCATTTTCCAAAGAAGTGCAGGGACTTCCCTTCATGTCATGGGCACGGGAGTCCATTCAAATGAATGGGCTTTTGTGCCCATGCAAAACGCAGCCCTTACACCCGCATAGATGTGAACCGGGGGTTAAATAGAAAAAGTTGCATTTTTGCTCCTATAGACTAAATTGGAAATGCTGCAGAAAAGCATGGAGTATGTTTATTATGGGTTTTGTGTTTAAAATCTGGTTAGCAACCAAAAAAAAGTGGCAAAAACGCACAGCAGAAATGGATCAAACGCAAACTGCATAGGTGTGACTCCAGGCTAACCCTAGGTTCACACCTAAGCGTTTTCTACAGCATTTTTGTGTTTTACATAAACGCAGCACAGTCCATCGACCATGATTTCCTATGGGACACATTCACATCTGTGTTTTCACCCGGTGCGTGTCAGGGACTTTTTGAATGCAAAACGTTGCATTTTTGTTCTATAGACTTCAATGGAGACGCTGCAGAAAATGCATGTAGTGAATTTTTGCTAATTTTTTTATGCATTTTGCTTTTTAAATCTGCCTCGCAACAAAAAAAATGAAATGGGGAAAAAACCTGCAAAACGCAGCAAAAACACAACGCAATGCAGAAAAGGCTCACATGCAACCTGCATAGGTGAACCTAGCCTAAAGCAGAAACCGAGATGCTGTTCTGGAAACCTCTTACCAGAGGTGCTTGTACAGAGCTTAGCAGCTCCCAAACACGCACCACCTGCCTGGAGTTTGCATGTTCTCCCTGTGCGGGTTTCCTCCAGGTACTCCGGTTTTCTCCCACACGCCAAAGACATGCTGGTAAGTTAATTGGTTCCTGTCTAAATTGTCCCTAGTATGTGTATGTATGAATGTGAGTTAGGGATCTTAGATTGTACGCCCCTTGAGGGTTAGGGATGGATGTGAATGTACAATATATATGTAAAGCGCTGCGTAAATTGATGGCGCTATATAAGTACCTGAAATAATAATTGTCTGCCAGGGCAAGTTTTACTTTTTTTATTTGCACACGTTACAAGCTGCAATTGCTAGAAATGAATGTAAACCTCCCAAACGTGATATTTGATATAAAGCAGAGATCCTGGAGAAGAAAATGGAGACCGTTGCAATTTCTTTATGCCACGCAGGTTTTCTGCAGCCGTTTATCAAACGCCTATTTACAGGAAACCATACACTAAAATTCATTTTAGTGCATGTAAACATATTATTACCAATTCTTGGTCCAATGGGGCTCGACCAATCCCAGGTGCCAGGTTGCCATGGCGAATAGAAATTGCATCCTTGGCACCTGGGTTCACACAGTGCCTCCCATTGACATCAATGCCTAATCATCGGTTCAGAAGGCCTGGCTCGCAGTCTCCGCTCTAATTCATCCCAAAGGTGTTCTATGGGGTTGAGGTCAGGACTCTGTGCAGGACAGTCAAGTTCCTCCACCCCAAACTCGCTCCTCCATGTCTTTATGGACCTTGCTTTGTGCACTGGTGCGTAGTTATGTTGGAACAGGAAGGGGCCATCCCCAAACTCGTCCCACAAAGTTAGAACCATGAAATTGTCCAAAATGTCTTAATATGCTGAAGCCTTAAGAGTTCCCTTCACTGGAACTAGGGGGCCAAGCCCAACCCTGAAAAACAACCCCACATCATAATCCTCCCTCCACCAAACTTTACACTTGGCACAATGCAGTCAGGCAAGTACCGTTTTCCTGGCAAACGCCAAACCCAGACACATCCATTGGATTGCCAGACAGAAGCATGATTGGTCACTCCAGAGAACATGTCTCCACTGCTCTAGAGTCCAGTGGCAGCGTGCTTTACACCACGACATCCGACGCTTTGCATAACACTTGGTGATGTAAGGCTTGGATGCAGCTGCTCGGCCATGGAAACCCATTCCATGAGGCTCTCTACACACTGTTGTGCTAATCTGAAGGCCACATGAAGTTTGGAGGTCTTTAGCTATTGACTCTGTAGACACTTGGCGATTTCGGCGCACTGTGCGCTTCAGCATGTGCTGACCCCGCTCTGTCATGTGACGTGGCCAACCACAGTTGCTTCCACTTTGTTATAATCCCACTAACAGTTGAGCGTGGAATATTTATTAGCCAGGAAATGTCACGGATGGACTTATTGTTCCCAGTTGCTTCCACTTTGTTAATAAGTAAAACAGGTATTTGGGGCACTCAGAGAGGGTTAAAATGGTATCTGCAGAATGAGCGTGGGCTAAGAACAATATGAAACTTATAAAAGTCCTGCTATAAATAAAACAATGTCCTTTTAGATTTATAGTAGTCCTTATAAGTTGAGTTACTAGTAGGCAGGCAGCCAGCCCGTAGAGAGCTAGAGAGAACCCTGTGGGGAGAGCAAGGGAAAAAAGAGTGCAGCCGTTTAACTCTTTAATAAACCGTATAATACAGGCAACTCACAAAGGTATAGTAGAGTAGCTCTTGTCATATCATTTAATCGGCATCTGCTGTGTGATGAGTCATGGGTCACTGTGCCAGGTTGTGGATCCGGTGTGAGGCGGCGATGCTAGTGGCTCTCAGCATTTCCTGCGAGTTCCAGGACACTGCAAGCAGGCGCTAGAGGACACATGGACATCACATCCGATCACGTGGGGAGTGTCGCGCGTTCAAAGCATGCGTGCTCCCTCTTAAGGCCGTAACCTTGGCTTCAACTTTGTCCGAGCTGACACCAGCATAAACACGTTTCATCACCTGATGTCCTCCGCTCCGTGAGGACGTCATGTGACGAAACACGTAGGGCAGAGCTTCTGGAGGTGATGTAACTACGTTCAGCGAGCTGCAAGCGTCTGTATGCCGGAGCAGGCTGTTTTTATTTTGCTGCGTATGCAGTTTATGCTGGTGTAGGCTCAGACACCAGTAAATGTGAGTGGAATGTCATGTTTTATGAATAAACTTTTTGCTACATTGTTACGCTAGAAGTCTTTCCTCTCTTGCTTTCTGAGTTCATTCCGAGACTGAGAAGAAGTGTGTGCCCTTTTGAATTATCCCATATACGCTGGTATCCATCTGCAGATCCTTGCTTCCAGAGTAGAAGTGCTTGTGCTGGTTAATAATCTGACCAGCATATTTCTCGGGTGAATTTATTCAGTGGTGGATTTGTGTACAGTGATTTGTGTTTTTTCACATGAAGGTTCAACATTGAAGACAAAAGCACATTTTAGATATATATTATTGGTGTGTTGGACATTTTACATTTACTTTTTCACTATTTGAATTTATTGAATAAATCATATAAAGGACACTTTTTTCTGGGGACAATTTATTTTGGAACATTTTTTGATTATTTATTTTGGTTATATTGATTTTAATATATGATTGTTTAAGGATTTATTTCAGCACTGTGAAAGTATAATAAGAAGGAGCACTGCCTTGAATTTATATTTAGTGGCGCTGTCCATATTCTAATTATTTACTGGTAAAAAAAAAAAGCACTTGTGTGTTGAACTACTTTTTTTTTTCTAATTCTGCTTTAAGAGGGTGTGGTTGGGGTGTGTCCTTTGCCTACATACATTTGCTAATTGGTGTCCCTCGTTCACATCTCAAAAAGTTGGGAGGTATGATACAGGATTGACCCCAGCGCTGTCCTTTGAAAGCTTGCTATGGGTGGCAGTCTATCCCCCTGTAGATCCTAGGGTAGTGATGGCGAACCTTTTTGAGCCCGAGTGCCCAAAACTGCAACACAAACCAACTTTTTTATTTCAAAGTGCCAACACTGCAATTAACCACTTGCCTACCTGGACGCATTGACAGACGGCACTGATCGGTGGCACTGCTGGGCATCATTGATGGGTGGCACTGATGGGCAGCACTGATGGGCGACACTGCTGGGCACTGACAGGTGGCACTGCTGGGCAGCACTGACAGGCGACACTGCTGGGCAGCACTGACAGGCGACACTGCTGGGCACTGATGGGTGACACTGCTGGGCATCATTGATGGGCGGCACTGATGGGCACACTGATGGGCGATACTGCTGGGCACTGACATGTGGCACTGCTGGGCAGCACTGACAGGCGACACTGCTGGGCACTGATGGATGGGACTGCTGGGCATCATTGATAGATGGCACTGATGGGCAGCACTGATGGGCGACACTGCTGGGCACTGACAGGC